TGCTTCTGTCCAATGTGAATTACCTATAATAATCTTTTTAACATTTTAGACAATATACGTATAGGGAGATTGCTGATAAACTGACAGAATATTGAATAATGATGACATTGGTGAATAGCGGACAGCTATGCTCTAAGAACAGAGATGAGAAGTCTGAGGATGTACATCAGGGGATGTTGAAAGTTCACACAAGATGATGTGAAAATGAGGCAATTTGGCTTATCATGTCAAACATTTTAATTACTAGAGCTATAATTTCCCACAACATTTCAGAATATTCAAGAAAACCTTGTGAAATTCTAGAGTGACCGCTTACTTGTTTATTGGTAACACATGCTTTCAATGAAAAATATTTATCATACATGTAATAAAATACAGAACACCATACTTTTGCATGCTGGAGGTTGGGACCATTTTTCTCCCAAGCATTTTGCAGTGGCTGGCCCAACAATTCCAAAACCTTCAGAACATGTGTATGTAACTTCTTCTTCATACTGATAACTGTCTGACATGTGAGCTACAGCACCATTTGAAATCTTAGGTGGAGACTTACAAGGAAGACCTAAGGAAAGAAAAAATCAGGTTTCACTAATTCAGAAATTTAATTTTATGTACCTATTTTTATATTTAGTAGTTTTATTTGAAAATAAACAACACAGGAGTTATTATGATGTCACATAGAAGTGCACAAATGTTTCCTAAAACCAACATTCTGGTGTCTGTCCATCTATCCAACTGTCATGAACTGAGCAAGGACTTGAAACTAAAAATATCAATACATTTAAGAAAGAGATCATCAATGCCTCTGTAAGAAATGCCTCTGTAAACTTATTAGTGATAATAAGATACACATTGGGGGTTAACAATTCCAGGTAAAACATAATATATTGTAGGAAATCAGGAGGGGCCTTCTGGGAAGAATGTAAAAGAAGTTCTAAAACCTAGTGGCAAAGCAAACATGACAACTTACAGAACACGTAGTGATATGATTTGGCTATGTCCCAACCAAAATCTCATCTTGAGTTGCAGTTGCCATAATCCTCATGTGTTGTGGAAGGAACTTCGTGGGAGGAAACGGAATCATGGGGGTGATTATCCCTCTGCTTCTGTTTTCAGAAGTGAGTTCTCATGAGATCTGATGGTTTTATAAGGGGCTGATTCGTCTTTGCTTTGCACTTCTCCTTCTGCCATCATGTGAAGAAGGACATATTTGTTTAACTTCCACCATGGTTGTATGTTTCCTGAGGCCTCCCCAGCCATTTGGAACTGTGAGTCAATTAAACCTCTTTCCTTAGTCTTGGGCAGTTCTTGATAGCAGTGTGAGAACGGACTAATACAGTTAATTGGTACCACAGAGAGTAGGGTGCTGCTGTAAAGATGACCAAAAATGTGGAAGCGACTTTGGAACTGGGTAACAGGCAGAGGTCAGAACCATTTGGAGGGGTCTGAAGAAGACAGGAAACCATGTAAAAGTTTGGAACTTCCTAGGAATGTGGAGGGCTCAGAAGACAAGAAGAAGTGGGAAAGTTTGGCACTACCTAGAGACTGGTAGAATGGCTTTGACCAAAATGCTTATAGTAATATGGACAATGAAGTCCAGGCTGAGGTGGTCTCCAATAACGATGAGGAACTTGTTGGACATTGGAGTAAAGGTCATTCTTGCCATGCAGAGAGACTGGTAGCATATTGGCCATGCCCTAAAGATATGTGGAACTTTAATTTGCTTTTCTTTTTTTTTTTTTTTTAATGGAAGTGTTTGCCTCTGGAAAAGGATAATTTGAGTGGGTAGGGTAAAGGGGCAGGGCACTGCTTGTTTTTATGCCAAGCCTTGGGGATTATTTAACTTCTTAGATTACATGCACATGCAACTTTTTTCTATGATCTTTTAAATTTTAAAATTGATACATAATAATCACACCTATTTATTGGGTATATGTTATAGTTTAGTACATGTATACAACATGTAATAATGATCAGGAGAACTGGAATAGCCATCACCTAAAACAGGTGTCATTTCTTTGTGTTGAAATCATTCAAAGTCTTCTCTTCTAGCTGTTTTTAAATATTTAACAAGTTATTGTAAACTGTAGTTCATTAAAGTTCATCAAATTAAAAAAAAAAGATATGTGGAACTTTAAACTTCAGAAGATCATTTAGGCTATCTGGAAGAAGAAATATCTAAGTAGCAAAGAGCTCAAGAGAAAGCAAAGCACAAAAGTTTGAAAATTTGCAGCCTGATAATGCAATAGAAAAGAAAACCTCATTTTCTGGGGAGAAATTCAAACCTGCTGCAGAAATTTGCAAAAGTAATGAGAGCCAAAAACAGTGGGGAAAATGTCTCCAGGGCATGTCAGAGGCCTTCATGGCAACCCCTCCCATCACAAGCCAAGAGGCCCAGGAAAGAAAAAAACGGTTTCATGGAAAAGGCCTAGGGCCCCCCTGCTCTATGCAGCCTCAGGACATAAGGTCCTGTATCCCATCTGCTTGAACTCTAGCTGTGGCAAAAGGGGCCAACATACAGCTCGGTCTGTTGCCTTACAAGGTTAAAATCCAAGCCTTAGTAGATTGCACGTGGTCTTGGGCCTGTGGGTGCACAGAAGTCAAAAATTGAGGTTTGAGAACCTCCACCCAGGTTGCAGAGAATATATGGAAATGCCTGGATGTCCAGGCAAAAGCTAGCTACAGGGTGGAGCCCACATGGAAAACCTCTCCTAGGACATTGAGGAAGAAAAATGTGGGGTCAGAGCTCTCACACACAGTCCCCATTGGGGCACTGCCTTGTGGAGGTGGAGCTTGGAGAAAAGGGCCACCATCCATAAAACCCCAGAATGGTAGATACATTCATAGCTTGCACCATGCTCCTGGAAAAGCCACAGAAGCTCAATGTCAGCCCATGAAATCAGGCAGGAGGGGGACAAGGTTACAGGGACAGATCTGCCCAAGGCTGTGTGAGCCCACCCACCTTTTTCATCAGCATGGCCTAAAGGTGAGACATAAAGTCAAAAGAGATAATCTTGGAACTTTAAGGTTTAATCATTGCACTATTAAATTTCAGACTTCCAACAGGCATGTAGCCGCTTGGTTTTGGCCATTTACTCCCTTTTGGATTGGGAGAACTTACCCAACGCCTGTACCTCCATTATATGTAGGAAGTAACTAACCTGTTTTTATATTACAGGCTTATAGGCAGAAAGGACTTGCCTTGTCTCAGATGAGACTTTGGACAGGAATTTTGAATTAATGCTGGAATGAGTTAAAGAGTTTGGAAATTTAGGGAAGGCATGATTATGTTTTGAAATGTGAGGACATAAGACTTAGAACATGGTGGAATGATATGGTTTGTCATGTCCCCAACCAAATCTTTTTGAATTGTAGTCCCAATAATCCCCACATTCCATAGGAGGGGCCCAGTGGGAGGTAATTGAATAACTGGGGCTGTTACTCCCATGCTTCTATTCTCATGCTAGTGAGTGAGTTATCATCAGATCTAATGGTTTTAAAGAGGGCTTTTTCTCTTTGCTCAGCATTTCTCCTTCCTGCCATCATGTGTTTTCTTCTCCTTCCACCACGTTTGTAAGTTTACTAAGGCATCCCCAGCCAGGCAGATCTGGGAGCTAATTAAACCTATTTCCTTCATAAATTATCCAGTATCAGGCAGTTCTCTTTTTTTTTTTTCTTTTTTTTGAAAACAAAAATTTTTTTTTATTGCACTTTATGTTCTGGGGTACATGTGCAGATCATGCAGGATGGTTGCACAGGCACACACATAGCGATGCTGTTTGCTGCCTCCATCCCCTGTCACCTGGCATTTCTCCCCATGTAAACCGTCCCCAACCTCCCCACCCACTGCTGTCCCTCCCTTGTTCCCCTCAATCCCATTACTGGGTATTTACCCAAAGGTATATATACTAGGTATATTCCATTTGCTGGGTCAAATGGAATTTTTATTTCTAGGGCCTTGAGGAAGCACCACACTGTTGTCCACAATGGTTGAACTAGTTTACACTCCCACCAGCAGTGTAAAAGTTTTCTTATTACTCCACATCATCTCCAGCATCTGTTGCCTCCAGATTTTTTAATGATCGCCATTCTAACTGGCATGAGGTGGTATCTCAATGTGGTTTTGATTTACATTTCTCTAATAATCAGTGATGGTGAGCATTTTTTATATGTTTGTTGGCCTCATCTATGTCTTCCTTTGAAAAGTATCTGTTCATATCTTTGCCCACTTTTAGATGGGTTAGATTGTTTTTTTCTTGTAAATCTGTTTCAGTTCTTTGTAGATTCTGGATATTAGCCCTTTGTCAGATTGGTAGATTGCAAAAATTTTTTCACATTCTGTTGGTTGCTGGTTCACTCTAATGATTGTTTCTTCTGCTGTACAGAAGCTCTGGTGTTTAATTAGGTCCCATTTGTCTATTTTGGCTTTTTTTGCCAATGATTGTGGTGTTTTAGTCATGAAGTCCTTGCCTATGCCTATGTCCTGAATGGTTTTGCCTAGCTTTTCTTCTGGGGTTTTTACAGTGTTAGGTCTTATGTTTAAGTCTTTAATCCATCTGGAGTTAATTTTAGTGTAAGGTGTCAGGAAGGGGTCCAGTTTCTGCTTTCTGCACATGGCTAGCCAATTTCCCCAACACCATTTATTAAACAGGGAATCCTTTCCCCATTGCTTGTTTTTTTCAGGTTTGTCAAAGATCAGATGGTTGTAGATGTGTGGCATTGACTCCAGGGCCTCTGTTCTGTTCCATTGGTCGGCATCTCTGTTTTGGTAGCAATACCATGCTGTTCTGATTACTGTAGCTTTTTAGTATAATTGGATATCAGGTAGCCTGATGCCTCTGGCTTTTTTCTTTTTGCTTAGGATTGTCTTGGCTATGCAGGCTCTCTTTTGGTTCCATATGAAGTTTACGGTGGTCTTTTTCCAGTTCTGTGAAGAAGGTCATTGGTAGCTTGATGGGGATAGCATTGAATCTATAAATTACTTTGGGCAGTATGACCAATTTCATGATATTGATTCTTCCTAACCATGAGCATGGAATGTTTCTCCATCTGTTTGTGTGCTCTCTTATTTCCTTGAGCAGTGGTTTGTAGTTTTCCTTGAAGAGGTCTTTTACATCCTTTGTTAGTTGTATTCCTAGGTATTTTATTGTCTTTGTCAGGCAGTTCTTTATAGCAGCATGAGGATAAACTAATACAGATAGGTTTAATTTCACTAGATGTTATATTTTTAATGCCAGAATAAAAAAATCATTCTATCATTAAAAAATAAAATTAACCGAAATAGAATAGATTCAATCATGCAAAAAGTATTTTAATGGTATAATAATTTTATATATTTATATACTTTTATTTATATTTGTATATTATAAATATATATTTATATATAGCATTTATATTTCTATATATTTATATAATTTTATATATTTATTATATATATATCTCCCCTCACTTTGATAAGAGATCATTTTTAATGTATTCTACTGTAAACAGAAATTGAGTTTTCATATTGTCCTAACCTTCACACTGAGGTGGAGAACTCCATTTTCCCATAAAGCATGTTATTTCAGTTTCTTCAGATAGCCTGAAACCATCTTCACAAGTAAAACTCAATTTCGTCCCATGTGCATAACTTTCTTCTGAAAATTTGGATGAATTAATGGTTCCATTTTCTATATGCGGTGGTTGTGAACAGGAAATTTTTTCTAAATGAAGAATGAAAATCAGTGTCAAGAACAAATAAAATATTTAAATTGAAATATAAAATCAAACACTATTTTGGACTTTCAAATAAGTATAATTTGACCAAATAAAATTATTTAAAAACAAAAACATATTAGAAACTTGCAAAGATATATTACTCCACCATATCTATGTTACCATCTTCTTGTTCAATAATCCTCTTCATTCGTGTCCTGTTCATCATGAGGATTAAAATATGCATGAATGGAAATGTTATCTGACATTTACTTATTATTCCAAATTTTAGCGGTATTTTGTTCAGAAAACTGAAAAAGTGTTGATTGATTAATGTGCCTAGGTCCTAATTTATTGTGTCTGGATAAAGTAATAGACATAGAGAAAGAACATCTCTCTTGCTTACACAAAGCACAACACAGTATTAACTTCATTTGAGAGAATTATGCAAAACAAATTATACACTACTGACCAACACAGCGTGGTACTGACTGCCATCTTCCATCTTTGCACATAATTTCTTCTCCTTCCTGAATTAGATAATTTTCTTGACACAGAACAGATACTTTTTCTCCATCTTGATAATTCAATGTGGTTGTAATATTCAGAGAATTAGGAATCTGAGGTGGAGGTGGGCATAATTGTACTTGTGTCGCTAAAAAATATAAAACACACACAAAAAAAAATATATATATATAAACATATAGTTAACATTGAAATAAAAATATTAAAAATAAAAAATATTAAAATTGGGCTTTTTTATTAAGAATCATAATTTATATGATTAAATAGAATATAAAATTCAATAACTTTTATAAATTATTACATATTATAATCATCTAGGTATACATATATTATACTTTTCAACTTTGTAACGGTTATATTAAATAATAGAACTTTTCACTTGTATTGTCATAGACTTTTTTATAGTTCTTTTGTACATTCTTTGTATAATAAATTTTGCATAACTTATGTAATACCAATTTTAATTATTTTGAAGCTTTAGAATGTTTTAATGGAATTACACACTCTTAATTACACACATTAAATAAAAATTGATATCTATTATCAAATATATCAGAATTAAAACCCTCACAAAATGTTCTGCCAATGGATTCTGATTAGCCAGAAGTAAGATTATATTTAGGTAATAATCAATTTGTTACTGACACTTGACCAATATAAGCATTAAATATATTCACTAGTGATTTATAGTATGCTATTTAAAGTTTGGAACTGCTGTCAAGCTTTTATTTACTACCTTATCTATACAGTTTAGGGAAAGCCTGACTTTAGTTATATAATCAGATATAAAGACACCTCTGTAATCTCACAGCTGAACTTCTGTTAAACTGTGATACATCAGAAACATCTTATTTTTTCATAATATGAAAATGAAGCATGTACTGTTTGACTGATGGAGGAGTTTGGAAGCATCTAGGAGCATTCAGCACCCTATAATTCCTTGATTCTTCTCTCTCTTATCAGTGTATGCTCTACTTCATCTAAAGCTTTATGTAAGCATATTATAGGAAATCATGGCAATTATTTCAATTGTCTGACGTTTTGTTATCAATTCAGGGAGATATTTGGGTGAATAAAACTTCATTAATTGTTATTTATAAGTTCATTGTCTTTTTTGCCTATAATAATTAAAGTACTTCATATTTTGTCAAAAGTATTTTGCCTTCTTTATGTTTTTCAACATTTTAACATGTTTCTAACATTCTCATCAATTTATTTTTCTTAATGTTAATGATCAACTATTTATGCTTGAATAACTCTTTCCTTCTATTTTTGTTAGGTGTATGTTCCTACCGTCTAGATTATAGTACTTGTTGTTTTTATTTTGTTTTTTCTTTTCTTCTAATGCATGTTGTAATGCTAAAACACATCTAGGTTTCAACTATATCCCATTGATTTTAATGTGGACTGCAATCATTATTATTCAATTTAAAGTATTTTCTCATACTAAGTAATTGAGAGAGATTGTTTATTTAACAAAATTGTGACACGGTATAGCCTAATTCTAAATTTAAATTTGAAGACCATTGTGACCCATTATACCCTAATTCTACACTTAGTGTGTATGCATATTTCTTTTCTAAATAGAACCATCAGCAAGTAGACTATCAGTTGTGGAATTTAAAAATGACTGTTTCAAAATACTGAAATTCTCCCAGTATACTTTCACAACAGAATTAAATTAGAAACCAGCAAAAATAAGTTATCTAGATAAACAAACATTTAGAAATTAGACTATAAACTTCAATACAATTGATCATCAACAGACATAGCACAAGACGAATGAGAAAATATTTCAAATAAAATAAAAATGCAGCTCCATGTTTATCCCCAGAAAGGTTTAAGTCATCCATCAAGTGCTACAACTTTTACAGTTACCTCTAAAAGGACTCCATCCTGAAACTCTTAACTCTCACAGCAGTACATACTAGGAATATACCAGTCTGCTTAGATCATAAAGCAAAGAGGTGGTCTTCAGATTGCATGTAAAAACACCAGAGGCAACGCCAAATTGGAGCAGTGCAGAAAAGGGAAGAGAATGTTTGATTTCCATTTCTCTCCAGAAAGGGCTTAGGGCACATGCTTCCACTGGCTACTTAATAACCTGGCTTCTATAGAGCTTGCACAGGGCAGCTAATGATGCAAACAAACAATAATCTTCCCACAGCCAAAGCCAAAATTTGGTACTTCATGAGGCTCACCCCAATGATTAATTCAGATTTCCCATTCTTCCTGGACCAAGTTTAGCCATGCCTTCAAATGTCATTATGTCTATAGCCGGGACTCAAGGCATTGTCTCCTTAATAAACTCACTCTGGGAGATGATAGGGATTTGCATTCCTGAAAGGCCCTACATCACAGAATACAAAAAGGTGGTAATACAATGAACTCATTTTTAGCAGCAGCTACTTCTTCAGGATCACAGTGTGCAGCCTGAATATTAGTACAGGCATTAGAAACAGGGTCCTTACCTGGTGGAATACAGAGAGGTTGTGAGATAAGCCCCCACATTTATTTTAACTATGAATGCAGAAAGAAGTGAAATACACAGCCAATGCCTCAAAATTTTCAGCTACATGCAGAGAGCCTTGCTGCTACCTTATTTGTGCCAGGTACTGACCAGATGTGACACATTCTGACCTCCAGAGAGCCACAAAAAATAAGAGACAGCAGTATGCACAAAGACTTGAGAGGCACATGAAAATTTTTGGCTGGAAAAATTAGGGAGATGTTCCCACTATGTGATGCCAGTCTGATAAGACTGAGAAAGGCCATTGTTTTATCCATTGCACAGAAACACGGTGAGTTAAAGGAAACAAAAAAAAAGAAACGAGAATATACTCCAAACCAAAGAACATGATGAGTCTCCAGAAATTGACTTGAGGGAAGTGGATTTACTCAAGAGGGAATTCAAAATATGATCATAAAGATACTCACTGAGGTCAAGAGAGCAATGCAACAACAAATTGACTAATTCAACAAAGAGGTTGAAAGTATTTTAAAAGTACCAAATGAAAGGCACAAATTTTAGAATAGTATAACTGAAGTGAAAAATTTTAAACAGGTATTCATCAGCAGACCAGATAAAGCAGAAGAAAGAATTAGTGAACTTGAAGGCAAATTACTGAAAATCACCTAATATGAGTAGCTAAATAAATAAATAAATAAATGTGAAGCTAGCTTAACATCCAGATGGGATGCCATCATGTGAAATAACATATGCATTATCAGAATGTAAAAAATAGAATGAGACAGAAGGAAATAGAAAACATATTCAAAGAAATAATAATAGAAAAATTTTAACAAGTTGAGAAGACATGGAAAACAACTTCCAGAAATCACAAAGGAAATCAAGTAAGTTTAATAAAAGATATTCACTTGGAGATAAAACACAATCAAATTATCAAAAGTTATAGATGAAGTGTTGAAAGCAGCAAATAAAAAGTGAATGGTCACATAAAATAGAATTTCCACAAGACTGTCAGTGGATTATTCAACAGAAACCCTACAGGACATAAGTAGAATGATATACCCAAAATACTGAGAGAAAATAACTGCCAAACAATAATTCCAGATTCTACAATTCTGTCTTAAAAACAAAGGAGTGATAAAGTCTTTCTGTGGTTAAAAAAAGCTGAGAGAGTATAAGGACACTATTTTGCCTTACGAGAAATGCTAAAGGGATTTCTTGAAGGTGAAAGAAGAGGATACTAAATAGTAACATGAAGATGTTAAAGTATAAAAATTACTAGTAAAAGTAAGTATGATATGAAATCCAAACACTTTAATACTGTAATGGTGATGGGGAATTATAGCTAGCATAAAGTTAAAAGGCAACACTACTAAGAACAACTGAAGGCACAATACTTTGTTAAGAGATATGAATTCTAGAAAGATGTAAAGTATGTCACCAAAGATAAAAAACGTAGAAGGAGCAGAGTAAGATTTAGAGATTTTATATGTAATCAGAATTCAGTTGTTATCAACTTAAAATAGACTTTTAAAAGATATGTTATATAAGCCAATATGTAATCAGAATTCAGTTGTTATCAACTTAAAATAGACTTTTAAAAGATATGTTATATAAGCCAAAGGATAAACACAAAGCAAAACCTCTAATAGACAAAAGATTAAAAAGAAAAAACCTAAGCATACAACTACAGAAGCTATCAAGGCATGAATAAAGCAAGCAAGAGAGATAGAAACAAAGAATTAAAAAAAATAACAACCAAAACACAATTAACAAATTGCCACTAGTAAATCCTTACCTATCAAAAATTACTTATAAAAATGGAATGTATTCTACAATCAAAATGCATAGAATGACCAAATACATTAAAAATTAATACCCATTTATAAACTGCTTACAATTTACTTATTTCACTGTATCGTACATTCATAGATTGCAGTGAAGGAATAGAAAAAAAATCTATAAAAATAAAAACTAAGAGAGAACAGAGGGAGTTATACTTATTTCAGAAAAAATAGACATAAAGGAAAAAATTGTATAAAGGAACAAAGAAGGTTATTACATAATGATAATGGGGTCAATTCATCAAGATAATGCCACTGTTGTAAACTTATATATGCAATCAGCATCAGAGCAACTAAATATACAAGTAAACATTTAGAGAACTGAATGGAGATATGGAATGCAACACAGTAATAGTAGGGATATCAATACCTTACTTTCAACATTTAGACAGATCATCCAGACAGTATATCAATAAGGGAACATTAAACTTGAACAATAATTTATACCACACAGATTGAACAGAAATACAAAGAACATTCTACATAACAACAACAAAACATATTCATCTCAAATGCACATGAACATTCTTCAGATTATATCATATGTTAGGCCATAAAACAAGTCATCAAATTCAAGAAGACTGAAATAATATCAAGTACCTTTTCTGACAACAATGGTATTATAAAAGGAGAAGTCAATAAAAGGAGGCATTATGGAAAGTTTTAAATTAGGTGAAAATTAAACAATGTGCTCTGAAACAACAATGGGGTCAAAAAGTTTAAAGAAATTTTAAAATATCTTGAGGAAAAGAAAAATGGAAACAAAACATAACAAAACTTGTAAAATGCAGCAAAAGTAGTTCTAAGATGGACGTTTATAGGAATAAATGCCTACATCATGAAAGTGGTAAGAACTCAAACAATCTGATACTACACCTCAAAGCAGCAGAAAAATATGAAAAAATTAATCAATCCCAAAATTAATAGAAGGATCAAAAACATAAAGATCAGAGCAAAAGTAAGCAAAATAGAGCCCCAAATCTACAAAGTATCAATGAAAGAATTGGATTTTTTAAAAAGAATCAAAATTGACAAAGCTTTAACTAGAAAAACTTTAAAAGAGAGAGATGACTTAAAGGAACACAATCGGAGTTTTTTTAAAAAAGGAAACATTACAACGGATGTCACAAAAATATAAAGAGTAATGAGACCATTATTAGCAATTAAATGCCAAAAAATTGGATAACCTAGAAGAAATGGACACATTCCCAGACATACACAGCCTACTATGATTAACGCAAAGAAAATAGAAAATATGAACAGACTAATTATGAGGGAAGAGATTAAGTCAGTAATAAAATGTCTCCAATCAAAAAAAAAAAAAAATACAAGACCTAACGGCTTAATTGCTGAGTTCTGCCAAACATTTTAAATGAACTAATACCAATTCTTCTAAAATGACTCCAAAATTTTGAAGAGGAGATCATTTTTCTAACTCATTTTGGTGGCCCAGCATTACTCTGAAACCAAAACCAGACAAGGACACAACACAAAAGGAAAACTACAGGCAAACTCCACTGATGAACATAGGCACAAAAAAGCCTCAACATTACACGAGCAAAACAAATCCTACAGCTCATCAAAAAGATTATTCACTGTGATCAAGTGGGTTTAATAAAAAGAATGTAATGGTGGTTCAACATCGGCAAATCAGTAAAGGTGATGCATCACATTAACTGAAAGAGCAATAACCATATGATCATTTCAATAAACCTAAACAGAAGTGCTAACACTATATAAAAGTCAAGAAAAAAACTGTAGACCATGTACACTTCACTGCATGTATGTTATTTGCTTTTAAGGGCTCTAAACATATTGAAGTGTTGATAGTTGATTAGTTTTTGTATTAGTTGTTAATGCGTTCTGTATATTCTAGACTGGCAGACATTGGTAAAAATATTGAGGCCAGTGAGGCAAGACACCCCACAACTGGAGAGCAAAATACAGATATAAAACACGGGAAGACTGGAATAAACGCTACACTGTTTAAGTGAAACTCTATATGTCAATATGACTAACTTTTCAAGATAAAGAATAGATTAATAGATAAATAGATGATTGGGGAAATGGAAGAACAGATGGATACGTAGATGAATAGGTAGACAGACAGATTAAATAAATGAATATATAGAAATAGATGTAGCTATGTAATACATACACACATATATACAGATACATAGTAGTTACTGTCATAGACAGAGGTATAGGCACAGGAACATTTGTTGACAAGAAAAGGAATTAAAAGCACTGGTCCCCCAACAGTAATGATGACATGTAGTGCCTGGATATTAATTTTAAAAAACCATTGAATTTATGCCTGTGTTTTTTATACTAAAGGTAACTAATTCACATGGCACAGCTTGTATTAATTTATTGCCTTTGTTTTTAAGTATATCATAATATAATTGAATTTTAATAATGGCTATGTTTAACATCATGCAAAATTTCTGCACATTAAACAATTAAGCTCTCATGAGCCTGTCCAAGCCATCTTCAGCACAGCACTGGTCCTAGCACACAGTGAGAATTCAATAAACAATTCATACCTATTGGGTATCATGTTTATTATTTGGGTGATGAAATAATCTGTACACTAAACCCCCGTGACATGCAGTTTACCTATTTAACAAACCTGCCCCTGTAACCTTCAACCTAAAATAAAAGTTTCTTAAAAAGAAAAAAAAGAAAGAAACTGTTTTCATTAGTTTCTAAATTACCTTCCTGGTTCAGGACCATTTGTAATAATAAATACCTAAAGCTTTTAAAAGATACAAATATACAAATCACTTTTCCAAATGAAAAATGGAATACATTTTTTAAAACAAAATAAGAGCTTACTTGAGCAGGTCATTTCCGGATCCCACCTTCCGTTTATGCAGACTGAGTGTTTTAGTTCATCTTTTCTAGTACATCTGTACCTTACGTTAGAATTATGATCATATTCTGTCTTTTTGGTTGAATTTCCATCAATTATAATTAACAGTGATGTTTGGCACTTCTTCAGTTGATCTGTTGCTATACAATGAAAATATTTGTATTAAAATTCTAAGAACCAAACCAATTATTACATAAAAATAGTTATAAAGTTTATAGTATTCGCATAGTAAAATTATGACATATCATTATAAATTTCACCAATCAAGTTACTCCTGATCACATTGCACCAAAATGCTATATGTAAAAATATAAGCCCTGTATTCTGTCGCTGAGATGTCAGAGAGAATATCTATCATAAGATATTTTGTACATTGGGAAATGCAAAATATCATTGGCTATTTCATTGGATGAATAAGTAGGATTGAACATTTAGGACTCTTAGAATGCAGGACCCAGGAAAACATTAGGAAATAACTCCGTTTAAGAGAAATGTAAATGAGAGTCCCCAAGATCTTCCCAGTTACTCATCAAAGAGACAAGATGATTTCAAGACTTGTAAATCCCTAGTCACAGTGTAAGTGACATGACTACTTCTTGTCACTCAGTTATGCTACTGACATAGAAGGTCTGCGGCCCACAAACCCTGCTGCACATTAATTCATTTTGGCTGATATGGAACAAACTGAAAACTTATCACTTTTGCAAGCTTAAAGAGAGAAAATATTCCTGTGGGAGACTAGTAAGCAGATATTTTGTCAACTTTGTTTCTTTGCTTTTCAGTACCTGAAAGGAGTACCATATAATAACAACAGTATTTACATAAAATAGCTATATTTTCTTGGTGAGTAATACTCATATGTAATTATATGACAATTTTTAATTTTTTTTATTTTTTAAATAAAGAGTTTTACACTGTTGCCCAGTTTGGAATGCACAATAAAACTCACTGCAATCTCAAGCTCCTGGCCTTAAGCAATCCTTGCTTCTCAACCTCTATAGTAGGCGGATTACAGGCATGCACCACCACATCTAACTAATTGAAAAAAAAATTTTATAGAGTTGGGGTCTTGCTATACTGCCAACACTAGTTTCAAGCTCCTGACCTCAAGCAGTTCTCCTGCCTTGGCCTCCCAAAAAGTGTTGGGATTATAAGGGTGAGTCACCACCCTGGCCTCACATGACAATTTTATAAGTAAAACATTACTTCACACTTTTAAAGATACACAATATTGATATCAGAGGCAGAAAGATTCATAAAATTATATTTCTAGCTTTATTTTTTCTCTCTAGACACATAGTGAATTATATACAATATGCAAAACATTGTTTTCATTATATTGAAGCCTGGACATGTTGAGGTATATCTGTAAATTTCAAAAATAGAGTTGTAAATTTTGATTTTACAATAAAAATATTAAACTTTATTAAATGTTGATTTAAGAAGTGTATTCTTACCCACACACTGAGGAAGTTGGGTCCATACTCCATTAATACATGTAATTGATCTGTGCCCGATCATTGTAAATGTTTCTGAGCAATTTAACTCCACTGAATCTCCATAGTAATAGGGAGGAGAAGAAAGCTGGGCATAGCCATGTTCAAGTTCAGGTATATCTCCACAGGTACTCTCCTCCTCTATTTAAATTTTACAAAAAAGTTTTTTTTTTGTGAAAACATAATTTATGTGTTTTCCATACAAAATACCAAAGTTTTGACAAGTTTATATATTAATATTTTATACATTACCAATACACATTGGCAAAGCTGTCCACTCTCCATCAACACATTGAATTTTATTAGGCCCCTGCATTAGAAATCTGGGATTGCAGTAATATTCCACCACTTCACTGTGTGCATATTCTTCTTTCTTTGTTTCCTTAGTGTCCCCATTGAGAAGTTCAGGAGGTGGACCACATGATTTTACTTGCTCTATAGTAGAAATGCTACGTGAATAGTGGTTCACTTGTCTGTTTCATAATATAAAAATCCAGTAAAATAGAGAGACTTTCTTCTTTTATTTATGAATTCTTCATTATGTAACTTACTATAGCATCCTCAAACAATCAAGAATGGTGTTCATACTGTATTACATTAACTAAATTGTCATATTGAAGTCATATTAAAATGTTAAAGTATGCTGAGTCTTTAGATCCTTTAAAGATGCAAGAAAACCAGTTAGCAAATGGGGTTATGAAAATCATGTTAATTTTTACATTTCATGGAAACATTTTATTATAACATTTTGCAAAACTATCATGACTGAGGCAGGCTTTGAACAAGGTATTTTAAATTGGACTAATCAATACAAGTAATTGAATTTAATATAAGTGGCTTAAATACTGTTTAGACACACTCAATGAAACTTAAGTTACAGCCCACACTACAAAAAATGTTCAATGTGGATGATGACGTTGCAGGCAAAATGAAAATTAACAAAGAATTCCCTGCATTGCCACCCACTGCTATGGTTTAGATGTTTGCCCCCCCAACACTGTGGTGAAACTTCATCCCCAATGTTGCAGGTGGGGCCTAATGGGAGACGTTTGGGTCATAGGTATGGATCTCTCATGAATAGATGAATGACCCCACTCAGGGATAGTTTTCACTCTATTAGTTCCTGCAAGAGTTGGCTCTTAAAAAGAGCCTGTCACCTCCCTGTTCTCTCTTGCTTCCTCTCTCCTCATGTGTTCTCTGCACACACTGGCTCCTCTTCCCCTTCTACCAGCAGTCTGTGGCTCTAACTGAATGCAGATGCCCAATCTTGAATTTTATAGCCATGAGAATAGTGAGCCAAATAAAATTTTTTGATAAATCATCCAGCCTCAGTTATTCCTTTATAGAAACATAAACATAAAATAGACTAAGACAGACAACACATATGTGTCTAGGAATACTTCCAGTACATTGTTCAAGAAACAGTGGAGATTAACTTAAGTAACCAAACCTCTGGTATTCAGTTCCAATCCATATCCTACACAGGCAAATCTTTGACTTAATTCTTTAGATTGCAGATGATAGAAGCCCAAACAAAATTAAGAATTAAAACTATTCAAAGTTTTAATTCTTGTTTCAGCAATTGTAAGATAAACATTCACCTTTACACATTGGGAGTTGAGGGGACAATCCAAAGTGGTAGCACTGAACTGAATTAGGTCCAACTATGGTAAATCTTGGTTTGCAGGAGAATTTCACCACCTCTCCAACTTTAAACTGGTCCTTCTTGGGATCAGGAATCAATTGTTCATCTATTTTAGGAAGGCTGCATTCTCGTTCTTTAAAAAGATAAAATAATTTCATAATAATATATAATTAATTATTGCCAAAGTAAAGATTACATGGGCCACAATAGAGTGAGGTTGGTGTTAGGTTATGCATACAGAGGGGCATCAGATAAATCCTTTTCCATGAAAAGAACGCTACATATTATGTTTTATACGCTGTGTAAATTGAAATAAAACTTTATGAGAAATGTTATGGTATTAAAATGTGCCTGTTCTAAAAATTAATTTATAAATTCAAATTATTTATGATGAATCTACTTCTAATCACTGACATTTATGAAATTTAATGTTATATGTTTCTAATGAAAGTATGAAATTGCTCTCTCATATTAAAAAAGACTGAGACTACAGTTTTAAAGTTGCAAACATAAACCAGAATTAGGGCTTTTGAAAATAAGTTGGCTGACTAAGGAGTTTGGACAACAGTTCTCCTCAGAGAGAAGAACCAAAGTTACAGGTAAATGATCATAACTTGAAAAATATCAAAGACAGGGTGCTGGAGCATAGAAGAAAATCCTGTTAAGAAGCCAAAGCACGGAAAAAAATAGAAGCAAGAGCCTGGCAATGGTTGATTAGGATCCGGGGACTTCATAGAAAGTGTTGGTAGGAGTCTTTTGGGCTCCCTGCAGATCAGAATGTGCATCCAAGCTGTGAGAGAGCTCCTCGGCCCTTGCGAACACACACATTGGTGTGAGTGGAGATTTCAGAACTTCTTCAGGGCAGTACACCAAACTACTAGCTTGATCAGAGTCATTTGCCTTCTCCTTGGACCTGAGCTACAGTGGTAGGTTTCATACTTGCAGTGCACTCACATGGGGACTGTATCCTACCCAGGAACCTCAGCCCTGTGTCTCCATAACCCCAGAGCCGCACAGACATAACCTGGCACCTGATTGGATGTGGCAGTCATATATAGCGTGCTGGACTCAGAGAAGCTACAGCATTCCCAGTAATTTAACCATCAGCGAGTGGTGTTCCTAATGGAAAGGAAGGGAGAGTGCAGTGCAACAAAGGGACACCCCTTGTGACAAAGAAGACTGTAGCATTCACTTTCCTGTGTGCACGAGCAACCTGCTTGTGGGCTGAAAGTGACTACACCACTTCCAGTAGACACACAGGTGCTGTGCTTGGCTCTGCAACGGAGGAGAATAGATAAATACCAGGAGCCAGGTGGACCACTGCTTGAGCAGGGATATAGAGGGGGGACAGCTCCCCTACTCCTGATCCAGTGGACATAGCTGTGGTCACTCGCAAAGGGAACTGATGCAGACACACCAGAGGGCAGACATTCTAGAAGTATTAAGGGTGGCTGCATCCCCACTGGTGATGTGCCCAATGAAACCAGGCTTGCAAGAAGGACAAGGCGCCTCCCCCTCTTTACACGTAGCAGCAGTGCTCCTGCAGGAGACAGCAGGAGAGCTGAAATGCTGTGTGCTTTGGGCTGACGGAGGTGGTTCCACATAGAAGATATTTTGACGGGGAACTGCAGTGCAAATGCCTTTCATAGCTGTCATTTCTATTGCAACCTGGTGATAGAAAGTGGTGCCTGTCCAATCTGAGTGTACTCGCCACTGGGACTGTGACAGGTAAGTTGATCAGGCCCTGCCTGCCAAGGCCATGGAATTGGGGCAGCTGTCTCCCACTCTGCAGACACCTAGGGGCATCTCACAGAATCTTCTCCTGACACCCCTGGGAGGGCTGGTGCTTGTGTTCATCCTTGCAGTATCCAAGGGTGAACTTAATGGTTCGGATCCATCCAGCTTTGTCCCCAGCTCCTCAGACCACTGTACATTTCACAGATCAGCCCATTGCCTGGGGCAACAGTGTTTCTCCCTTAAACAGTGACCAGCATACACTCTTCTGCTTCTGCTGCTGCTGGCTCTTACCTGTGTGCACCACATACTGTCCTGGATGTTGAACTGCACAGCCCAATGCAAAATCTGCAGACATTAGGGCATGATGCTGGAAAACAAGGTTAGTTTTCTGACAAGTCCTCTATACCAGCCCTTCAGGAGGCAGTAAGCCTTGTCATACACCCAGTACATAAATACTACAACCAGCAATTAAGAAAGCCATCAGACAAAAGTTATCTCTAACCAAAGAACTCATACAGAGCTGTTACGACTGAAAGAACCCAGAACATAAACTAAATAACCCTAAACAACATACATCACAATCACACCGTCAAAGAGAAAGAAATCCTGTCTATGGAAAACTACACTCAAAGATAAGAAAAAGAGATAGTCCACTGTAATGAGAAGAAAACACTAAAACATTTCAGAAAGTATGATAAAACAGAGTATCACAACACCCCCAAAGGATCATACTAACTCTTCTGCAATGACTCCTAACCAAAATAAAATTTTTGAAATAACAGACAGATAATTTAAAATATTTATTTTAAAGTAGCTCGGTGGAATCCAACAGAAAGGTGAAAAGCAACACAAAGGAATTAGGGGAAAAACTCATATATGAATAAAAAATGTACTAAAAATATTTTTTAAAAAAAGAACTTAGAGAAATAAAAAATTCATCAAAGAATTACAAAATATAGTTGAAAGATTTAATAACATATTATACCAAGCAGGAAAACTTGCTCTAAGAGCATGAAGACAGGTATTTCAAATTAACTCTATCAGACAAAAATTAAGAACAAATAATTTTTTAAATGAGCAAAGGTTTGGGGAAAAATGGCATTCTTAGCAGGGTGTAGTGGGTCATGCCTATAATCCCAGCACTTTGGGAGACCAGGTCAGGTGCATCACCTGAGGTCACGAGTTGGAAAAATGCCATTCTGAAAAGGGAGAAAAGAGTTACAGATATTCCTGAGGGAGAAGAAAAAAGTTAAAAGTTTGGAAAACCTATCTGAGGAAAATTTATCTCCTCTTGCTAGAGATATTGACATCTCTATACAAGAGACTCAGATAATGCCAGAAAGATGCATTGCAAGACAAACTTCAAACGTAGTCATCAGAGTATCTAAAGTCAATGCTAATGGGAAAAAAAATCATAAAATCAACAAGAGAAAAGCATCACATCAACAATAAAGGAAATCTCATAAGTCCAACAGTGGTCTTCTCAGCAGAAACTTCACAAGCCAGAAGAATTTGGTGGCCTATTTTTGGAGTTCTTAAAGGAAGATTCTTTCATAGTTCTTGACAAAGAAAAAGTTTGTTAGACATGTATTTTGTATTTTGCTAAATTAAGCTTCAAAAATGAAGAATACATAAAATATGTCCAAGACAAGCTAATACTAAGGGAATTCATCACCACTAGAAATCCACTTTAACAATTTGTCCCACAAGTAATGATCCAGGGAGTTCTGAACATAGAAAAAGCCGGTCAGTACTCATCATCATAAAGACATGCAAAAGTACAAAATTCTTAGGTCTTATTAAAAAGAATTTCACAGTTGAGACTGCAAACCAGCTAGGTAACAACTAACATAATTATAAGAACAAAACCTCACATGTCAATGTTAACTTTCACCATATATAGATTAAATATCCCACATAAAAGGTATAGATTTGTGGACCAAGTTTAGAAAACAGACACCAACCACATACCGCTTACAAAAAAATCCACCTAAATGAGAGAAACTTATATACAAATTCATGGCAAAGGTATAGAAACAGGTATTTTGTACAAACAGAAGAGAAAAGAATTTGGTAGAGTTATATTTATTTACAAGAAAGACTTAAAGTCAACAAAAGAAAAAAAGATGAAGTTTATTCTATAATAATAAAGAAATCAAGAAGATATACTAAATATGTATGTAGTTAAAACTTCAGCACCCAGATTCATAAAGCAAATACTACTAGAGCTAAGTAGAAAGATAAACAGCAATATAATGAGGGTGAGCAACCTCCACACCACCAATGACTGTACTAGACAGATTGCCGGGACAAAAATATAAACAAAGGAACATTATACTTAAATTGAATTCTAGAACAAATGGACCTAACAGACATTTAAAGAGCATTCTGCCAAACAACCTCAGAATATATGTTCTTCTCATCTGTGCATGGAACATTCTCCAAAATAGACCATATGCTAAGCTACAGCCACAAAGCAAGCCTCAAAAAATTTTTAACATTTACAAATAATAACAAGTATCTTCTCAGAAGATGGTGATATATAACTAGAAATCAATATCACACAGAATTTTCAAAACTATCCATACACATCAAAATTAAATCACTGACTTCTGAGTGAACTTCTAGTCAATGATAAAATTAACATGGAAATGTTTAACAAATGAAAATAGAGATATAACATACAAAAACCTTTGGGATATAGCAAAAGCAGTGCTAATAGGAATATTTACAGTGTGAAATGCCTGCATAAAAAATATAGAAAGGTTATAAATTAACCTAACTTTGCACATAAGGAAACTAGAAAAACTAGAACAAACCAAACCCAAAACTAGCAGAAGAAAAGAAATAACAAAAATCTTGGAAGAACTAAATAAAATTCAGATCAAACAAACAATACAAGAATCAATGAAATTAAAAGTTAGTTTTGAAAAGATAAACACAATTAATAGACCACTAGCAAGTCTAACAAAGAGATGAAAATATGTTCCATTAAACACAAGTAAAAATAAAAATAGAGACATTACAATTGATACCACAGACATAAAAAAAATCACCAGAAAATCTAGAGAAAATGAATAAATTCATTAGAATCATACAACCTCCAAAGAATGAACAAGGAAGGAATAGAAATCCTGAACAGACCAATAACACTGATAACAAGTAGTGGGATTTAATCAGTCACAAAATCTCTCCCAGTTAAAAAAAGAAAAAAGAAAAAAAAAACTCACTACCAGAAGGATTAATGGCCAAGTTCTACCAGACATACAAGAAGAATCAGTACCAATCCACTGAAACTGCTCCAACAAATCAAGGAGGAGAAGTCTTCTCTAACTCCTTCTATGAAGCCAGTCATGGACAGCAAAACAAATAAACTAGTGGCCAATATCCCTGTTGAGTATAAATGCAAAATCCTAAATAATATACTAGCAACTCAAAACCAACAGCATATCAAAATGATAATATGCCACAATTCAGTGGGTTTTATTCCAGGTATGCAAAGTTGGCTCACCACACGCAAATCAATAAATGTGATTCTCCACAGAAACAAAAAAATTTTTAAACAGACGATAATTTCAATAGATGCAAAAATAATTTGCTAAAATTCAGTATTACTTTATAATGAAAACAGTCAAAACACTAGTCATGGAAGGAACACACCTCAAAATAAAAGCCATATATCACAAACCTACAGCTAACATTATACTAAAGGGGAAAAGTTGGAAGTGTCCCCCCACCACATAAGAATTAGAACAAGATAACTACCCAGTTTCTCTGCTTTTACTCAACATAGTACTAGAAGTCCTAGTCAGAGCAATCAGGCATGAGGAAGGAATAAAAGGCATCCATAAGGGAAATGAGGTAGTCCAATTATCTCTGTTTGCTGATAATATAATCTTATATCTAGAAAATCCTAAACACCCCTCTAAAAAAGTTTCTAAATTATATAAATGAATTTGGAAAATTTCAGAATACAAAATTGATATACAAAATTGGTAGCATTTCTATACATGAATAGTGGCCAACCTGAGAACCAAATCATAACTCAATCATCTCATTTCCAGTAGCCATGAAACAAGTTAAATACTTAATAATACAATTAATCATGGGAGTGAAAGATCTTTGCAAAGAAAACTACACAACACTGATAAAAGAAATTGTAGAGGAGACAAACAAAGGGAAAGCATCCCATGAACATGGAATGGAAGAATCAATGTTATTAAAATGACAATACTGCCCAACATCATCTACACATCCAATGCAATTTCTACGAAAATACCAACATCGTTTTTCAATTAATTAGAAAAAACTATTCTAAAATCCATATGAAACCAAAAAGATCCCAAGTAGCTAAAGAAATTCTAAGCAAGGGTATCACCTTACCTGACTTCAAATTATACTACAAGCCTACAGTAACCAAAACATTATGGTGCTGGTATAAAAATAGACACATAGATAAATGGAACAGAATAGAGAACACAGAAATAAAGCGACATACCTGCAACCAACTGACCTTCAACAAAGTAGTCAAAAATATACACTGCTGAAAAGACATCCTATCCAATAAACGGCAATAAGAAATTTGCATAGCCACACAGAGAAGAATGAAAGTGGCCTCCTATCTCTCACCACATACAAAAATTAATCCCAAATGGATTAAAGTATTTAATGCAAATCCTGAAACCATGAAAATCATGCAAGAAACCTAGAGCCAAACTCCTCTGGACATTGACCTAGGCAAAGAATTTACAACTAAGACTTCTAAAGGAAGTGGAAATAAAAACAAATATAAACAAATGCATCTGAAGTAAACTAAAAACCTTCTGCACAACAAAATAAATAACAAGCAGAGTAAACAGACAACCTCAGAATGGGAGAAAATGTTTGCAAACTATGAATCTGGGAAAGGACTAATATGCAGAATCTACAAAGAGCTGAAACAACTCAACAAGAAAAAAAAAGTAGGCAAAGGGCATGATGAGACATTTTGCAAAAGAAGTCATAAAAATGGCCAAGAAACATGAAAAAAGTCTCAATATCACAGAATGGTTACAGTCAAACACTCAAAAACAATAAATGTTGCTGACAGTGAGGAGAAAGAAGACTGCTTATATGCTGTTGGTAGGAATGTAAATCAGTACAACCTCTGTGGAAAACAGAGTGGACAGTTCTCAAAGAACCGAAAACAGAACTACTGTTTCACTCAGCAAGCCCACTACTGTGTATCTACCCAAAGGAAATCAATAATTATATCAAAATGATACCCAGGGTCATATGTTTATAGCCTCACTACTCACAATAACAAAAATATGGAATCAAACTAACTGTCTATCAACAGATGAAAGGATAAAGAATATGTGGTATATGTATATTTACATATATGCCATAGAATACGACTCAGACAAAAATAAATAAATAAAATTATGCCTTCAGAGGCAACATTATAAAACTGGAGGCCATTATTTTAGGTGAAGTAATTCAATTCAGAACGTAAATTCCCATGTATCGTCACTTACAGGTGGGAGCTAAACAATGTGTACGTATGGAGAGAGAGTGCTGAGTAATAGACATTGGAGAATCAGAAGGGTGGGAGGATAGCAGGAGGGTGAGGAATAAGAAATTACCTAATGGGTACAATGTTCACTATTTAGGTGACGAATACACTAAAAGTACAGATTTCACCGCTCTGCAACATATCCGTGGAACAAAACTGCATTTGGGCATTCTAAACGTAAAAAATATAGAAATTAAAATTTTAAAAAGAAATGAACACACCATAAAACACCATGGAAATATCTTTAAAAGTTAAAGGCTAATAAAGCTGCAGAGTATCCCAAGAATAATGATGATATAGTCCTGTAATTGCAGAGTCAAGAATAACTTTATTTAACTGAAACTAAACAACCTTCAAATAATCTCTGGTCTCATCATGTTTATACTTCTTGATGATTGACATATACATCACAAGAAGGTAAATTCTCATCAAATATTTATTAGTGAAGATGTATGCATTAAGAAATTAACCAAAATTGGTATTTTTGTTTAATGTGATCAAGGAAGCAGAACTTAAACTAGCATTTCTAATATGTTTTGAGTTAGAAAAAATGTAAAAATCACATAATATATTAAAAATAAAGAAACAAAATTAAGATATATTTTCAAGGTTACATGGAAAAGCAAATTCTAGTTGTCCTGAATATTTATGTTAACATATAACAATTTTTATTACATCTATAGTTTATATCAATGTTTAATAAATGTGATAATTATTCTGATTCAAATAAGAAATGTGTAAAATTAACTCTAACATGTTTATAATTTTTAAAAATCAACAACATTACTAAAAGTATCCAAAAGTTATTTTTCTTATTCAGAATCCCACTTTCTTGCTAACTTAGAAAAGTAAAAGCTAGAATTCTTTTTTTTTTTTTTTTTTTTTTTTTTTTTTTTTTTTTTTGAGACGGAGTTTCACTCTGAGACGGAGTTTCACTCTTGTTGCCCAGGCTGGAGTGCAATGGCGCTATCTCGGCTCACCGCAAACTCCGCCTCCCGGGTTCAGGCAATTCTCCTGCCTCAGCCTCCTGAGTAGCTGGGATTACAGGCACGTGCCACCATGCGCAGCTAATTTTTTTGTATTTTTAGTAGAGACGGGGTTTCACCATGTTGACCAGGATGGTCTCGATCTCTTGACCTCGTGATCCACCCGCCTCGGCCTCCCAAAGTGCTGGGATTACAGGCGTGAGCCACAGCGCCCGGCCAAAGCTAGAATTCTTAAATTAGAATCATACCAAAAAGAAATTTCATCACATCATAACCTCAAGTATTAATACATAATTACAAAATTAGATTTAAAGTAATGTCACAAAATAACAATTACAGAAATTTGCTTTTGTGTTTGTTTTAATATTGAGTTTTGCAGATTATTTGTGAAAATCACACTTGAATGAGAATCACTTGAATTTCTTTCCTAAAAGTCTATGCCAATCTTTTACATAGTGATTCTTTTATTTGTATGTGTGTTTATTTACATATTTTGTGCAATTTTATATAAATTTTCTGTGTAATTGTATTGTGAAAAGATAAATATCCAGGTAATAAAAATAGAAAAATTAAGAGCTTGATTATTGGGTATTTCAACTGCTATATTTATATAGAGGTAATAACTTAGGAAATGTGATTTAGAGAAGAATGTGAATGGACACTCCGTGAATTAGAAATATTTTTCTTCATATAAAGTTCAAAACTCTAGCTCCTAGTACTGGATATGTGAAATGTTAGTATGAATTTTTCACTATGAGGTATATACTCCTTGACAATTGTAAACATTATTTAGGTTAAGTGCTCTATAATAACAATTCTGTGGAAAATTTTCCCCAAAGAAGAGATCTCTTAGGACAGCTGAAATATACTCAGATGTCTGTCAACCTGTATGCAGTTTTCTGTTACATGGCTGAGAGAAGAATATTTGAAAAAAATACTAAACCGGTATTTCTTCATTTAACATTTGGAGGCCTGTACTATACTAGCAAATTCCAAGTTATGTGTTCATATGATCATGTCTTTGTAAAATTTGCAATAGAAAGCCATTTTCTACCTCAGTTTCTACTGCTATGTCCACCACTCCAACTTCCTCTCCTTTAGGTTTTCATTTTCTGTCTGGTAATTGGAAAGACTACTCAAATGATATATTCACAATTTTGTGTTCTTTTTTGATGAAGCTCCCTCGAAATTGTAAAAGCTTCTGGCTTCATAAAACCTAAATTAGCCTATCATCACAGAAAATAAATGTATAATCCTCATAAAATAAGCCTCCGCCTCTCAATTAGAATAAACTCCAACTCTTTATGATTCATGCCTACACTTCCAACGTTATCCAATGTCTCCCTTCTCCACTAAATCCAGGATTCAGATTTTATGATCTTTGAATTTTATTAAATAGGTCAAGTTCTTTGCTGCCTCAGCTGTTGCACATATCCTAATTACTATAATGAATGGCTTTCAACCATTCTTTGCATAAATGACTTCTTTCTAAAAGAGGTCCCCAGTTCCTTCCCTCCTATTCTCTAACTCAATCATTGGATTTTCTATTTCTTTGAACATAGTGATCCATAAATATATTTTTAATACTTTTATTACTTGGATATTTAGCTTATTTCTCTTTTTGTTGTTGTTTTTCCTCTCTTATACTGGAATAAAATCTGGATAGGTAGACCCGTGCTTGTGTTTTCACCATTTTCTCCTGTCCTATGATAGGTGTTTATGACATCTTGAATGAATGAAATTTAACTGGACTTTTGACACTGCCCTTTATCTGCAATGTACTCATTCTGTTTCTCAGCTGCGACTATTTCAAAACTTTTCTATTCTGCCTAGTACTCCTCCTCCTCCTTTACCCGTATACAATTCAACCTCAGATGACCATGTCTTATACTTCAAAACAGAATCCATCCGCTTCTACCATTTTCCCACTTTACTGCTCATTTTCCTTCCGATCTCCTGTCACAAAGTTGGAAACAGTCCTGTTACCACTCAAGCACAATACCTCCACAGTAGCTCTGAACCCCTTCTCCTCACATCTTCTCAGGGCGACTATGTAAGTCATGTGTTCAATCTTTGCAGTGCCCCTCTTTGCTATATCTGCTCTCGTGTCTTCAATCTTTTGTGTAATTCTCCCTTCAGTGTAAATTTCCTCAAGCAACATTCTAAACTTGCTATTTGCTGCACAGCCACATTTCTTGAACCACTCATGTCCACAGTCTGTATTAAATGTCTTGCTAATTATTTTTATTGGCAGGTTCTATTTAGGGTCTGTCTCTTCTCCATCAGAAACTACTTTTGTTACACTTGTCATTGGCCTCTACCTTGCCAAATCCATCACAATTTCCCAACTGAATAAAGTAAACTAAATTAGAAACATTTGTCACTTAGATAATGATAATAATGTAATTAAATTATAATTTCCTTGACTTTATTATATAAGGCACTATGGTGATAAATGTTTATAAATAATTTAGTCTCCTAACCAAAACAATCCTTTGAAATATTAGAACTGTTGTAAATACTGTAACATTTTACAAATAAGAAAGAGTCAAAAAAGCTTCAAATAGACTTTCTATGTTGGCCAAAGATACATGCTTAGCAAGTGGTGGAATTAGAATTCAGACAGGATGACTTATTAACAATCTGTTACACTCCCTTTACATTAATAATTTCCTTCTTTTTATGTCTATGGAAACATTCCAGATTTTTTTCTCCTGTTTCTCTGAGTCCTCTTTCCCCCCGCACCCACCCCCACCATTTTCTTTGCTGTCTGTTTCACTACTGCATCATATTTAAATGTTGCAATATGGGGCGGGATCCAACATGGCCATTTACAAACAGCTCAGGATTGCAGCTTCCAGTGAAAGTGCAGAGGCTGCTGCAGGTGATCCCCAGGCAAGCAGGGCCTGGAGTGGACCTCAGCAGACCTACAGCAGAGGGGCCAGACTCTTAGAAGGAAAACTAAGAAACAGAAATAAATTCCTCATCAACAAACAGAACGTCCACTCAGAGACCCAATCTGAAAGCCAGCAACTACAAAGACGACAGGTGGATAAATCCATAAAGATGGGAGGAAACCAGCGCAAAAAGGATGAAAACACCCGAAACCAGAACACCTCTCCTCCTACAAGGGATCACAGCTCCTCACCAGCAAGGGAACAAGGTTGGATGGAGAACGAGTGTCATGAAATGACAGAATCAGACTTCAGAAGGTGGGTAGTAAGAAGCTTCTGTGAACTAAAAGAACATGTTCTAACCCAATGCAAAGAAACTAAGAACCTTGAAAAAAAGATTTGATGAAATGATAACAAGAATGGACAAATTAGAAAGGAATATAAGTGAATTGATGGAGCTGAAAAACACAACATGAGAACTTCGGGAAGCATGCACAAGTATCAACAGCCAAATTGACCAAGCAGAAGAAAGGGTATCAAAGGTCGAAGATCAACTCAATGAAATAAAACAGGAAGGCAAGAACAGAGAAAAAAGGTAAAAAGGAATGAACAAAGTCTCCAAGAAATGTGGGACTATGTGAAAAGACCTAATCTACGTTTGATGTTTCAGGTGTACCTGAATGCGACGAAGAGAATGAATCCAAGCTGGAAAATACTCTTCAGGATATTATCCAGGAAAACTTCCCCAACCTAGAAAGGCAGGCAAACATTCAAGTCCAGGAAATACAGAGAACACCACAAAGATATTCGTCAAGAAGAGCAACCCCAAGGCACATAATCGTCAGATTCACCAGGGTCGAAATGAAGGAGAAAATACTAAGGGCAGCTAGAGAGAAAGGTCGGGTTACCCACAAAGGGAAGCCCATTAGACTCACAGCAGATCTCTCAGCAGAAACCCCACAAGCCAGAAGAGAGTGGGGGCAAATATTCAACATCCTTAAAGAAAAGAACTTTCAACCCAGAATCTCCTATCCAGCCAAACTAAGCCTCATAAGTGAAGGAAAAATAAAATCCTTTGTGAGCATGCAAGTACTCAGAGATTTCATCACCACCAGGCCATCTTTACAAGAGCTCCTGAAAGAGACTCTACACATATAAAGGAAAAACCAGTAACAGCCACTCCGAAAACATGCCAAATGGTAAAGAGACTCAACACAATGAAGAATCTGCATCAACTAATGGGCAAAACAGCCAGCTAGCACCAAAATGGCAGTATCAAATTCACACATAACAATATTAACAATAAATGTAAATGGACTAAATGCCCCAATCAAAAGACACAGACTGGCAAATTGGATAAAAAGCCAAAACCCATCGGTGTGCTGTATCCAGGAAACCCATCTCACATGCAAGAATACACAAAGGCTCTAAATAAAGGGATGGAGGAAGATTTACCAAGCAAATGGAGAGCAAAAAAAAAGGGGAGTTGCAATTCTCATCTCTGGTAAATTAGACTTTAAAGCAACAAAGATCAAAAGAGACAAAGAAGGACATTACATAATGGTAAAAGGATCAATGAAACAAGAAGATCTAATGATCCTAAATATATACGCACCCAATACAGGAGCCCTCAGATACATAAGGCAAGCTCTTAATGACTTACAAAGAGACTTAGACTCCCACACAATTATAGTTGGAGACTTTAACACCCCATTGTCAAAATTATACAGATCAACCAGACAGAAAATTAACAAGGATATCCAGGACTTGAACTCAGACCTGGAACAAGCAAACCTAATAGACATTTACAGAACTCTCGACCCCAAATCCACAGAATATACATTCTTCTCAGCACCACATCACACCTACTCTAAAATTAACCATATAATTGGGGGTAAATCAGTCCTCAGCAAATGCAAAAGAACCGAAATCATAACAAACAGTCTCTCAGACCACAGTGCAATCAAGTTACAACTCAGAATTCAAAAACTAACACAGAACCACACAGCTTCATGGAAACTGAACAACTTGCTATTGAATGTTGACTGGATAAACAATGAAATGAAGACAGAAATAAAGATGTTCTTTGAACCAACGAGAATGAAGCCACAACATACCAGAATTTCTGGGACACATTTAAAGCAGTCTCTAGGGAAAATATATAGCAATAAGTGCCCACATGAGAAGCAAGGAGAGATCAAAAATTGACACCCTATCGTCAAAATTGAAAGAGCTAGAGGAGCAAGATCAAAAAAACTCAAAGTCTAGCAGAAGACAAGAGACAGCTAAGATCAGAGCAGAACTGAAGCAGTTAGAGACACAAATAACCCTTCAAAAAATCAATAAATCCAGGAGCTGGTTTTTTGAAAAGATCAACAAAATAGACAGACCACTAGTCAGATTAATAAAAAGGAAAAGAGAGAATAACCAAATTGATGCAATAAAAAACGATAAAGGGGATATCACCACAGATTCCACAGAAATTCAAACCATCATCAGAGATTATTACAAACAACTCTATGCACATAAACTAGTAAACCTGGAAGAAATGGATAAATTCCTGGACACTTGCCTCCTCCCAAGCCTAAACCAGGAAGAAGCCGAAACCCTGAACAGACCCATAACAAGGTCTGAAGTTGAGGCAGCAATTAAGAGCTTACAACCCAAAAAAAGCCCAGGTCCAGATGGGTTCACAGCTGAATTCTACCAGACATACAAAGAGGAGCTGGTACCATTCCTTCTGAAACTATTCCAAAAAATACAAAAAGAGGGAATTCTTCCCAAATCATTTTAGGAGACCAACATCATTCTGATTCCAAAACCCGGCAGAGACTCAACAAGAAAAGAAAACTTCAGGCCAATATCCATGAGGCACATAGATGCAAAAATCTTCAATAAAATCCTGACAAGCCGAATGCAACAGCACATCAAAAAGCTTATCCACCATGATCAAGTAGGCTTCATCCCGGGGATGCAAGGCTGGTTCAACATACGCAAGTCTATAAACGTAATTCACCACATAAACAGAACCAAAGACAAAAACCACATGATTATCTCAATTGATGCAGAGAAGGCCTTTGACAAAATTCAACAGCCCTTTATGCTAAAAACCCTCAATTAGCTAGGTATTGAAGGAACGTATCTCAAAATAATAAAAGCTATTTATGACAAACCAACAGCCAATATCATACTGAATGGGCAAAAACTGGAAGCATTCCCCTTGAAATCTGGCACTAGACAAGGATGCCCTCTCTCACAAGTTCTATTCAATATAGTACTAGAATTTCTAGCCAGAGCAATCAGGCAAGAAAAAGAAATAAAAGGTATTCAAATTGGAAAAGAGGAAGTCAAATTGTCTCTATTTGCAGACGACATGATTCTATATCTAGAAGACCCCATCGTCTCTGCCCAAAATCTCCTGACACTGATAAGCAACTTCAGCAAAGTCTCAGGATACAAAACCAATGTGCACAAATCACACGCATTCCTATACACCAATAACAGACTTAAAGAGAGCCAAATTAAGAATGAACTTCCATTCACAATTGCCACAAAGAGAATAAAATACCTGGGAATACAACTAACAAGGAACGTAAAGGACCTCTTCAAGGAGAACTACAAGCCACTGCTCAACGAAATAAGAGAGGACACAAACAGATGGAGAAACATTCCATGTTCATGGTTAGGAAGAATCAACATCGTGAAAATGGCCATACTGCCCAAAGTAATTTACAGATTCAACGCTATCCCCATCAAGCTACCAATGACCTTCTTCACAGAACTGGAAAAAACCACCTTAAACTTCATATGGAACCAAAAGAGAGCCTGCATAGCCAAGTCAATTCTAAGCAAAAAGAACAGAGCAGGAGGCATCACACTACCAGACTTCAAACTACACTACAAGGCTACAGTAATCAAAACAGCATGGTACTAGTACCAAAACAGAGATATAGACCAATGGAACAGAACAGAGGTCTCGGAGGCAACACAGCACTTCTACAATCATCCAATCGTTGACGAACCTGACAAAAACAAGTAATGGAGAAAGGATTCCCCTGTTTAATAAATGGTGTTGAGAAAACTGGCTAGCCATGTGCAGAAAGCAGAAACTGGACCCCTTCCTGACACCTTACACTAAAATTAACTCCAGATGGATTAAAGACTTAAACATAAGACCTAACACCATAAAAACCCTAGAAGAAAATCTAGGCAAAACCATTCAGGACATAGGCGTAGGCAAGGACTTCACACCAAAACACTAAAAGCATTGGTAACAAAAGCCAAAATAAACAAATGGGACCTAATCAAACTCCACAGTTTCTGCACAGCAAAAGAAACAATCATTAGAGTGAATCAGCCACCAACAGAAAGGGAAAAAATTTTTGCAGTCTACCCATCTGACAAAAGGCTGATATCCAGAATCTACAAAGAACTAAAACAGATTTACGAGACAAAAACAAACAAGCCCATTCAAAAGTAGGCGAAGGATATGAACAGACACTTTACAAAAGAAGACATACATGAGGCAGACAAACATATGAAAAAATGCTCTTCATCACTGGTCATTAGAGAAATGCAAATCAAAACAACATTGAGATACCATCTCACACCAGTAAGAATGACAATCATTAAAAAATCTGGAGACAACAGATGCTGGAGAGGATGTGGAGAAATAGGAACACTTTCACACTGTTGGGGGGAATGTAAATTAGTTCAACCATTGTGGAAGACAGTGTGCCAATTCCTCAAAGACCTAGAAATAGAAATTTCATTTGACCCAGCAATCCCATTACTGGGTATATATCCAAAGGATTATAAATCATTCTACTATAAGGACACGTGCACACAAATGTTCATTGCAGCACTGTTTACAATAGCAAAGTCCTGGAACCAACCCAAATGCCCATCGATGATAGGCTGGACAGGGAAAATGTGGCACATATACACCATGGAATATTATGCAGCCATCAAAAACGATGAGTTCGTGTCTTTTGTAGGGACATGGATGAACCTGGAAACCATCATTCTCAGCAAACTGACACAAGAACAGAAAATCAAACACTGCATGTTCTCACTCATAGGCGGGTGTTGAACAATGAGAACACATGGACACAGGGAGGGGAGCACTACACACTGGGGTCAGTTGGGGGGAAATACTGGAGGGACAGTGGGGGGTGGGGAGCTGGGGAGAGAGAGCAAAGGGAGAGATGCCAGATATAGGTGATGGGGAGGAAGGCAGCAAATCACACTGCCACGTGTGTACCTATGCAACAATCTTGCATGTTCTTCACATGTACCCCTAAACCTAAAATGCAATAAAAAAATAAATAAAACAAACATGTGAGTCTCTTGATCTCACTCTTTTTCACACCCAACATTTGGTAACATCACTGTACTTTCCACCACCAAAATGTTTTCCAAATCTGCCTTCTGCTCTGCACCTCCTCTTTCATCACTCTCTCTCAGTCACCACACTTTCTCACACTACCTGGACTCATTGTGCCACCTCTTGCCTACAAAAAGTAGAGCATCCAGGAAAACAATTCAACAAAACTAGAAGTCAAATTAAACCATTCCTTTCCTTAATACTCTTCTATGGGTTATCACGAGTCATAAAATGAATCCAGATGATCTGAGGCCCTGAGCTGATCTGGAGAATTGTTTCCATATCTCCCATCTGGCCTCAGTAGGCTAGACTCTGCTTTACCACCTTGAAATATTATTGTTTTGATTTCACAGTTTTGCACATATTTTTCTTTAGCTCTGAACACTCTACATATGCTCGTTGTCCAAAAGAGTCAATTATTCTTCTAACCCTGAAAAACTGATGGCTGATTGACAAACATAAATGAGATTCATGTAATAGTCCTCAGAACTTATCAAAGTTAGAAAATAAAGACCTACACTAAGGAAGTACAGAAATTAGCACACATGATAGAACGTATAAAGTAGAAATTGAAAAACAAATTAGCCGAGGAAGTTGCCACAAGCTGTAATTTTGGTAATGAGTGCTAAGTCCTAAATAATTTGAAAGCTTGTATTTAGAGCAACAAAAGCAATTATACTATAATCACAAATTTGGAAGGTAGGTGGCCCATAGGAAACATTAATTTGATGCACTATTTTAAAGACATTTTCAAAACACCCTTCTTTTCTCAGTTTATGTTAAATCAAGACATACCATGATTTTAATCAACATTCCTTAACAATGTCTCTATATATAATTCAAATTTTTAAAATTGGAACACAGATTTATTTTCAGTTTGAAGAAAGAATTTCTCAAAAATCAATACTTACCGTAACATGTGGGTGAATCAGACCAACCATTGTAACCACACACTATGGAGCCAGTGGTGCTTCCACTTGCGCTTTCATAACCATCATGGCATTCATAGTCCAATAAGTCATTCAGCTTAAACCATGTGATGTTATTTTTGGCTCTGGCATTATTAAATTCTGGCATATCACAAGATTCTAGTACATAAACAATTGAGAATATCATTTCTAATGTAATCTAATAAACAATCTGCATATTTCTCATTCTAAAAAGAGAAAGCTTTATTGATTAGATGTACTAATAAATAAACACTGTACAAAAATAATCTAAGACTGGTGAGAAGTTACTGTCCTGAAATGTTGCCAAAAATGAAAGTATATGTTTCTACGCAGCATTTTTTTCATTTTTTAAGCCCCAAAATCTATGTTAAGAACATTTTTCCTAATTCACTATATCAAGGCATTTATGACAATGCTAGTAATAAAACAGGGCACTACAGTTGTATATTACTTTTTTAAAGAAAATCATAACAGCATTTTGTAAATAAAGATGCCACACTAATTCAAAGTTGAGGCATATGTAAAAAGAAAAAAATGATTAAAAAATGAATTCCTTAGTTATAAAAGACAGTTTCTCTTTCATAAGAAAATCTTAAAAGATTAATTAATAAAAATTTAGTATAAGATGAGTTTTATGAGGAGTGACTTTTTTGTAAACTAGACCTCATATTAAACATAGACTTTAAAAAAAATGAAAACAGTATACATGAATATACTAAATATTAACTTCCCTTAACATGAGTATATTAAACATTACTTCAAAATATTACTAAGAGGCGTGCAGATCACTTAAGGTTAGGAGTTCTACACATCCTGGCTAACATGGGGAAAACCTGTCTCTACTAAAAATACAAAAATTAGGTGGGCATGGTGGGAGGTGCCTGTAATCCCAGCTACTCGGGAGGCTGAGGTAGGAGAATCACTTGAACCCGTAAGACAGAGGCTGCAGTGAGCCAAGAATACGCCACCTCAATCCAACCTGGACAACAGAGCGAGACTCTGTCAAAAACAAAACAAAACAAACAAAACTGGATGGCTTTGCAAGAAATAAGACAAACTGAGCCAATTGTTTCTACACGATTTTCATAAATATCTAGATAGTGTGGTACAGAAATAGGGAAATACACAGACACACACACACACACACACGTATATATATATATATGTACATAAACAAGGCACTATATATGCATATATATATATATGTGAGTGACTGTGCAAAAAATAAGACAAACCGAGCCCATTGTTCTATAAAATCTTCATAAATATCTAGATAGTGTGGTAAGAAAATCATTCAATAGAGCAGAAATTGGTACCATCTACAAATATTTTCTCTCTCTACTACCCATATATTTGCAAAAAATTTCTAATGGGGAGGATATTCAGAATTGGACATAGCCTACAGTATCAAATCTATAAATTATAGAGTTTAAATTATTTTGATATTATGCACTATGCATCCATATCTCCACTAAAAACACTACTTTTTTATCTAGGGGCAAAGGCTTTGATATTAAAGGCTAATCACATAAAACAGGTATATATAACAGTCATAAAGACATAACCTAAAAGAAATAAGTTTAAACCAGAATACACATAAAGCTCCCTAACTGGTTTATACAACACAGAATGCTTCAGAGTGGGAAAAACTTGAATGGAAAGACAAACTAATATTTGAGTAATTAAGTAAAAAAGAAAACTAAAATGATGTCTGTTTTGTTCCTCAAAGTTTTTTGGTTTTTTTTTAATCTTTTCAAATGAAATTGTGTCAGCCCGCACAAAAAGACTAAAGTTAGGAAACTTTTGTGTAACATCTGGATAATCACTACAAATGTAATAAATTACTTACTAATGCATTTGGGTTGAGCTGACCATCCACTTTTCAGACATGTAATTGATCCTGATGTTTCACCATCTGCTCTTATAAATCCTTGTTTGCATTCATATTTTGCTTGTTTATTTAAGGCATATGTATACTGAGATTCAGAAAAAAAGCCATTCTCAATATCTATATCTGATCTGGAACATGTTTCTAAAAGAGAAGAGAAAAAGAAAAAGACAAGGATATGTTTACTTATATTTCATAAGAATGTAAATAATATGAGAATATAAAATATAATGAACCATTTATAAATGAAAACCGCAGAATCATAAGCATTCAAATACTTAAGTCAAGGAAAATAAGTTCTGTGTTGCCAAAGATATTACAGCAAGACTCTTCATCATTTTTTAAACAAGGCACTATTTAAGACACTTACTATTCCTTCTAAGAAATTATTGAAAATCTGTTTGTCTCATGAATTTGGAATTCTACAGCACGTCAGAACACGATAGACAATGTGTTATTTCTCAGAACTTTTTAATCTTGCCGATTTTAGACTTTTTAGGCAATTCCAAAACTCATTTAGCCAGTTGCAGTATCTGAGATCCCGTGATGATCTGAGAAAATCTGCCAAAATAACCGTAATAGCCTTTGGCCCCAAGAATTTGAAATGTCGTTCTTATTGTGTGCTTCAAAGTAAATGAACATGTGGAGTTCAAAGAAGATAAGGAATAGGAGCAGGTGCATTTATCTTGAACGGACAAAATGATGATACCTCAAAGTATGTAGAACTTAACTTTAAAGAACAGAAGATACTGTCTCTGTAAACTGATGATAGAAATTACTGTCAGTTACTAGGTTGCTTCCCAGAACTCAGCTTCATTCATAAATAACTCATGGATAAGAAGAAAATCAAAAAAGAAAACGTTAAATACTTTGAATTGAATGATAATAAAAACATTAAATAAAGTTGGTGAGATGACACTCAAATAATGCTTAGAGGAAAATGTATCATTACATAGCTATAAAAGAAAAGAATAAACACTGCAAGTAAATTATTTATAAGAAATTATAACAAAGTAAGCAAACAAAATTTTGGAACACAAATATGAGCAGAAATCAAATAGAAAACAAACAGTAGATACAAATTAAAAAGTACAAGATCAGGCAAGAATAATCAAGGAAAACAGAGTTCCAGCCACAAATAAGGAAATGGAGCCAAAAAGATGAAGATAACATTTTCAGACATTGGAAAGCAGGAAGCACCTTATCAAAGAGAAAAAGTGACACTATTAGATGACTTCCGTCATCAAATGGAGTTTATGCGTGGAGAAATTTTCCAAGCAGCAGCACAGAGAAGGAGAATTCAAGCAGGAAATGGCAGAATTGCTCAGTAGAAGAAACAAAACTTAATGTTCCCCCAGAAGATGAGATCATCAGAATCTGCAGGAAAGGGAGTCAGAAAAGAAGAAAATATGGAGTAAAAGGGCTCTACAAATTTCCACAGCAATTCCCTGGATTATTTGGCTAAATACTGACACTCTGGTGAGTACAGCAAAACTCCACAAGAACGGACAAAGGGTACCTACCAGTTGAAGAACACTACCGGAGAAGAAAAAGGTGAAAGCACTCACAACACTGGGACACATTCGAATTGAATCAGTCAGAGTGGAAAGACTCCTTTGAACATCTAGGTCGTTTAGTAGAGACATCAGAAGAAGCTTAATATTCTGAACAAACTATCTCTGGGGAAAAGCCTCCATAAACCAGCCTTTAAAAAGCTTAAAAGTAAGGCTCGAAAGAAAGAATCCGGTTGATTCATAGCAAACTTAGACTTTTAAACAAAATTTAAAACAAGTAATCCTTGGAGTCTCACAGACGTATAGACTTCAGAAGTTCCAAAGCTGCTTCTTTTAGCTAAAATACAGAGTAGATATTAAAAAATGAATAAATAAAACCATCTTTTGGCAATAATTCCTTCTTCCCACCTGCCTCCAAAAAACCCAGCAAATCTTTTACAGAATACTAACCATACTCCTGCCAAACACTAATGGATAAACTATATATCAAAAGTTGTGGCATGACACTAGAGTACTATGAAATAAATTGGTGTCACTACATGTGATAGAAAATGACAGTGTTCTACTTCAGTAACCTTGGCCTCTACCATCAGACATTAGAAAAAGTAAAATAAAAAAATTAAACTCAAAGTAAGCAGAAGAAATAATACAATAAAGATCAGAGGTGAAATAATAAATAAGTAAATCTGTACCTAAAAAGAAAAACAAAAGCTTGCTAATTCAGATCTCTATAATTGATAAACCTTTAGATAGACTGAATCAGAAAAAAAAGATGACACAGACTGCTTATATCAGAAATGACAGAAATAACATCATTATGGTTTTTACATATATTAAAAGAAAAGTAAGTAATATTCTAAATAATGCTATATCAATAAATCTAATAACTTGAATTATTAAAAAACTTACTAAAGCCACAAACTACCATAGCTCTCTCAAGAAGAATTAGGGAATATTAATAAAGTATATCTATTAAACAAATTGGATTTGTAGTTGAAGCAAGAAAAACAAAATATTTAGTTATAAATCTAAAAAATACAGGATCTGTATGCTGAAAATCACAAAACAACTGGTGTAAGATATCAAAGATGATCTTACTAAATCAAAGGTATATAATGTTCATGGATGGAAAAGTTCAATACTGTTACATGTCAGTTCTCCCAGATTCATCTATAAATGTGTCCCAATCCTAATGAATAACAGAGCACAATGTTTTGCGCTGATGCTAAAGTCACATGGAAAGGCAAAGGGGCTAAAATAGCTAAACAATTCTTCAAAAGATAAGAGAAGTTGAAAAAGCACATTACCAGATTTTAAGACTTAGAAAAAGCCACAGCGAGTAAGAGGATCTCATGATACTGGTGAAAGGATAAACACACAGAACAGTGGAAGGAAAAAGGGAATCCAGAAATAGGCTCACAAGCATGGATCTATTCTAAAAATAGCTTTGATTCTATTTTCTTATAAAACTGTCAGGTTTACATGCCCGTTGTTTAGCAATAGATCAATACACTGAGACAGTAGGGTTTGCAGCAAAGAAGGACTTTAATCAACTCAAGGCCAGCAAACAAGGAAATGGGAGGATTCTCAAGCCTCTAATCTGTTCTGTGAAGGGGTTCTTGGGAAGGGACTTTAAGGAATCATAGAGGGTGAGGGGCTAGAAAATTTGGGTTGTCAACTGGTGAGAGTGATGGGGATGAAATCACCAGGGTGCGAAACCTGCATTATTTCATGTCTCAGCTTTTTGCTGGGCTCTTTAGACCAGCTGGGGTGTGTGTGTGTGTGTGTGTGTGTGTGTGTGTGTGTGTGTGTGTGTG